GGATTCTTGGGTCTGAGTTAGCTTCACCGATAATCGATTATCACATGGGCAATAATCGATTATCAGGGCTCTCTGAACTTAGGACTTTCTGAACAAACCAACTTGACAATTGATTGCCATAGGGTGACAATCGACTATCACATTCTGCGGGACTTTGGGGACAGAAGCTGCACAGCATGATAATCGATTATCAACAGTAGACAATCGATTATCAGCCAGTTCTGAACCCAAGGCCGTCATGGTGAACAAATTGTAATCAAACACATATGTATGCAATGAATTTAACTCCCTTCTTTAATCAATGCATTCATTCCATCATGTTCGTTCTAGACGAATGTTCTAGGTTTTCATCATGTGCATACCGCTGTATGGAGGACTTTGTGCGCCTACTACAGTGGGCCCGTCCAAGAACCTTCGGGGACCAACGGGCTTTCATGATGTTGGGCTTGTGTACGTACATAGTAGTCAGGTTACGGCTACTACCTGGTTTTGCTAGTCCACTCGCGATATTTTCGTCGTGCCCGGCTCGTTATCGTTCGGGGCAATGACCGGAGTGTAGGGGTGATCCTGTCAAGTGAGACTAAGCCAGGGGTGTCCCTGATAGTTTAAGTCATGCATCAAGTCATATCATCATCATGTATGTTCCTTGTTATTCGAAATAGCTTTAACAGGTGAAAACTAAATAGTTAGTAACGTGTGGTTTCCCGTACGTTAAGTACAGGTATTGATATGGGTATAGCCATATGGGTTATCACTTAATGTTCTTTTATTAGATTCACTCCTCAGCGTTTGCTGAGCGTGTAGTTGCATGTTTTTGCTACACGCAGGTAGACATGACGGAGCACGTGCCAACCCTGGAGAGCAGTGACGATGGAGAGATGGGCGGCGCACGGACGAACTCTTAATTACTTTCAATAACTTCATTAATCAATTGGGCATGAACCCACCCTTGTCATTATTTAATTTGGACTGGACTTATTTATTTACTTCCGCATTTACTCTACACATTTACTACACATGCTTTGGGAATAACTCCTTGGCATTTATTCCCTAATTAAAACACAACCGTTTTCTTATTAGGTAATCATTAATGTTTTCGTAACGGAGGGTTCTCGGACGGTCCTTGTAACCCTGTCGGTCTGTCGGGTCGCGGGTGAACCGGGTCCGCGGAAGACAGGTGTTACAATTTGGTATCAGAGAGGTTCGGTTTTGTGAAAAAAATAAAATATTTTGTCATTTTGGGTCAAAAGGTATTTTTCAAAAGTCCACAGCCGCATCTCCCATCACATCACTCCCAGGGAAAGGTACACTGTTATTTTAATCACATGTATGTCATATTGTAGTTAGTTCTGATTTAGGTTATTTCTTTAGAGAATGAGCGAAGCAGCTGGCAATGACGGACAGGCTGTCCCAGAGGGGGAGCCTAAGCACGTGAGTGTGCACACTGAAGCATCAAGCTTCACACCCCAGCAGGCCTCCGAGCAGGCGGTCCCAGGCGTGGGCCCTATTCCGGAAGCCATTCCTATCGTCCAGCCACCGTTCGCGGCTAACTTCATGAACTATCTCCAGCAGATGGCTGGAGCATACGTTCCACCACCGCCACCACCGCCGCCACCAGTGGCGGTGGTCACCATCGAGAAGCTCCGGAAGAATGGAGCTGAGGAATTTCTGGGCGATCAGATCGTCGACCCTATGATCGCTAAACGGTGGTTCGAGTGAACCATCCGGGTGTTGGGGAACCTAAGGGTTCCACAGGAGCAGCGTGGCGACTTCGCAGTTGCATTACATCAGGATTTCGCCTACGACTGGTGGAAGCGTGTGGGAGCAGACGTCCTGGAGCCCGTGCAGTGGGCCACATTTGATCGAATCTTTCATGAAGAGTACATCCATGAGCACTTCGTCGAGGCGAAGCGGGAGGAGTTCTTGAAGTTCACCCAGGGTGAACTCACACTGCCTGAGTATCGTCAGAAGTTTGACGAGCTCGCGGAGTTTGGGCAGGACCTCGTACCGACCGTGGAGAAGCGGTGCAAACACTTCGTGGAGTGTTGACGTCCCGACCTTTCGACCCATCTGATCATTGCTCCCCGGAGTGACATCAACGCGTTGTACAAGAATGCGTTGGATTTGAATACGGCCCTCATCAAGAAGGCTGAGTTTGAGCAGACGCAGGGGGCGTCAACAGCACCATCCCGTCCTCCTCCACCCCAGAAGGCGGGGACCAGTGGCAAGAGGTCCTCTGCAGCGCCTAGCAGCTCTCACCAGAGCAAGAAGGTGAAGTCAGCCCCTGCCCAGTCGTCTGCGTCCGTCCAGAAGAAGGGCAAAAGCGGTGATGGGTTCCGTAACCCAATCTGCGATCATTGTGGGCGCAGGCATCCAGGAGAGTGCTGGTATACTCTGGGCTTGTGCCTTGGGTGTGGCAAGGCCGGGCATTTCCGTAGAGATTGTACGAAGAATCCGGGTGAGGCATTCTCGTCCGCAGCAGCCGCTTCGACCCAGCAGCGCAGGCCGCCCAGAGTCAGAAGTCGGCGGTAGCATCTAGTTAGCCCAAGCGGCAGGCATCTAGCGCTCAGGCGGGGAAGGCCCCGGCCCGTACTTACGCGATGCGAGGGCGCACCGAGCAGCCAGCCCATGACGTCATCATGGGTATGTTTACCTTATTCGATACATCTATTACAGCCTTGATTGACCCAGGTTCCACTTTATCATATGTTTGTATGCCTATGCCTGATATGCCTAACATTCCGAGGGAAGACTTAGACAACCCGGTAATTGTGTCCAACCCATTGGGACACAGTCTATGACTCACCCATGTGTATCACGATTGCCCATTAGTGGTCCAGGGAAAGACCTTCCCTGCAAGTCTCATTGAGCTTCCACATCGTGAGTTTGACGTCATTCTAGGCATGGGCTGGCTCACTGCCAACCAAGCCCTTGTCGAGTGTGGAGCGCATACGGTTCGGCTGAGAGCCGAAGACGGTAGTGACGTACTGATCCGTGGTGAGCCTCTTCTGAAAGCTCCAGAATTCATTTCCTACATCCATGCTCGCCGACTCATTCGCAAGAAGCGTGAAGCATTCTTGTGCACATTGCGTGACACTCGTCAGGAGGCGCCTAGTGTTGGACAATGTGCTATCATGAATATATATTTTTGCAATGTCCTTTGCCCATTGTCTTTTAGGTTTTGATAATGACAAAAGGGTGACAAAACATCATCATCATATTGTGCATCAAGGCTAAGAATCAAAGCTACAACAAGTTCATATCCGTCCGTGAAGAAGGGACTTGAGCATCGGTGGAAGGAACGAGACCGAAGAGGTTGTTTCCTTAGTTGGGTAGTGTTTTAGGTCTTAGATTATGTGTTAAAGAGTATGGCATCTCTAAGGTTCATTCCCTTATCATCCTACCTTTAAAACACATTTTTTTTCCAGCAAACTATTCGAATAAATTGAAAACTATTCGAATAAATCCCTTAACTTCTATTCTCACTCAGTTGAATAAATCCAGAA